TAGCTGTTGTCTATAGAATGCATCGTTAGTTTATCTGCAGGCTAAGAGCAGAAGAAAGGCTTTTCCACCCCGTCACCCTAGAAAAGACACAGAGTTCTTTGCTATTTAATTTGCTGTCAGCATATGTAGAGAAAGTGGGAGAGAGAATAGTATTTCCATATTTGTATGCTAATTACAGTTTTTCAGAGAACTTTGAACCAACAAAGCTATTTTTTAAGCTTGTCAGGACAAGATTGATGTTTGTTAGCAGTGAAAATACTGGGGAATGGGAATATCGTACATTGGATAAATGTTTGTTGTTGCTATCTTTAACCTGAGTTCTGTTTGTTACTGATACTGTTGTTGAGATCAGAGACCAGGTATAATTTGGATTAAGGAAAACGGAGACAGAAAAGAAGCACTGAGCAGTGTTTGCACACTGTAAATGAATGCACTAATGAGACTTTGTATCTTAATAGGGAAAAGTAGAGCCCTGATTTAGAAAAGCACTTAAGCCTGTGCTTCTTTTCAGGGAGTGACAGAATCGTATAAGGCCTATTGATTCAACAACTGAAAGAGATTTCAGCTTGTACTCATATCTGAGCAAGCTTTAGAATAAGGGGAGGAAGGGATTTTTTTATTGTTACTTTCTGTTATTTTTTTTCCCCACAGAGTCAAGGTGAACTGTGGGAATATTAAGTGCTGCAAAATGACAAACACAGAAACATTCCTCCAAATTAGTAGCAAACCTTTTCCCCCAGCATATTGTACTTGTCTTTGGGAATAGTAAATCACATAGTTAGCTGGGCAGACCAATCATGTGCAGAGCTTGTGAAAATAATTATCTCTCTATTTCCAGCTTTTGTTTCACCACCTTCAAACATGCACTGAAATTTCACCCTGAAAATTGTGAGCCAGAATATGATTTTTTTTTCTGGGAAAATTGCATATAAAACCTAATTAAAAGCATCATCCCACACTTTTCTTTTAAAAGTACATCTACTACCATCATGCCTCTAAATGTAACAGTGCTCAACAAGTGTCTAGCAGCCAAGAAGACACATAATTTAAAGGCTATTTCAGCATTTGATTAAGCACACAGTGATAACTACAAGCTCATGCCCTGCAGGCATGACAAGAGGCAATTATGTTCTGAGGTCAAAAGGGAGGGGGAAAAAAGCACAAGATTTTGATGACTTACTTAATTTTCCAGCTCCTGAAATTAGCAGAGACAAAGAAGTTCTAAATCACCCAGATAAAATACTGTCATTATCTGTTGCCGTTTCACCCTCTGCTCTCACTTTGCCCTGCAAAAGCTCAGAAGTAAGATTTTCCACCAAATGGCTGCACTTAGAAAATTCAAATTGGCACACATTTAAATGTTAAAAAGAGCACTTTTCGAAATCTTTTAAGTTCTGCCATATGCATTTAGATGGCTATCTGCACATAGGATCCTGGAAAAAGACACCTGTTTTCCAAAGTAGTGAGCAGCCATCAGCTCCTCTTGACTTAAAGCCAACAATTAGGTCACTTACTTAGGAGATTAAATAAGGAGTTCATCAAAAAGCTGCAAAGGTAGGGAGCTGCTCAAAGGAGAGGGAAGTGTATTAATGAATTAATATAATTGTGCTGTGTGTGTCATGGATGGGCTTTGATGTATATTATTTCATAACAAAAGGCAAACAAATCTTTGTTTAAGATTATCATATAGAGATGCGATGTCAAGAAATGTGCTTACAAGGAGATAAAGATTCAACCTCTAATTTCCCTTCAGAATATTTACTGCAGATATGTGTAGAAAAAAGCCATGCAGAGCAACTGAACTGGTCGAGGATGGCAGAATGGAAAGCACACCATTGCTTTCTCCTGTCGTATTACAGTATTTAACTATTCCTACAGTTTGTCCAGGGTGTCACATTTCTTTTATGCCATATAACCAGCAAATAAATGTTGACTCCGTGATACATGATTCAGGGACTGTAGTGATAGGACAAGGGCTAACAGCTTCAAACTTAAACAGGGGACATTCAGGTTAGGTAAGGAAGAAGTTCTTTACTGTGAGGGTGTTGAGGCACTGGAACAGGTTCCCCAAGGAAGTTGTGAATGCTTCATCCCTGGCAGTGTTCAAGGCCAGGTTGGACAGAGCCTTGGGCAGCATGGTTTAGTGTGAGGTGTGCCTGCACATGGTAGAGGGCTTGGAACTTGATGATCTTAAGGCCCTTTCCAACCCTAACTATTCTGTTATTCTATACCGTAGTAAGGTGTCTGTAAAACAAAGCTGTCCTTCTGATGGAAAACAATTGAGTGATTATGTGAGAAACAAAAAGGTGAATTCCAGTAAAGCCACATCTGGAAATATTTGCATCTGTTCATAGATTCTTTAATGAGAAGCAGTATATGAGCTCTTATTTTGGGGGAGGAATATTTGGTTTGGGTTTGTTTTTTTTGTTTTTTTTTTCTGGGGAGTACTGGGGGCTGACATTCATGCAATTTTAGTAAATCAGTGCTATAAAGTCTCATGTGCAGTAAGAGCTGCCCAAGATACAAGAAATGTGTTCTCACACCTGGTTAAGAAACATATAACAGTTTTTACTAAACCTTTGTTTTTTTGTATTAACTGTGAAATCCTCCACCAGAAGCCTGAAGTAACATATCATCATTGTTGGCAGAGCTACTGTGAGATTAGGCAGCTATCTTTCTCCTCAGATAAACTTCTATTTTAATAAAATCATATTGCTGGTAGGACTTCCTAATGTCTTATTTCCAACAAAACACCAGAGCTAAGATTAGCTGCATATGTACAGGATTGCTTTTGATAAATACAATTAAATAGGTTGTATGAGTCAATTCTCAGAAAGTTAGTTTCTGTGATTTTAAGTGAGGTTTTCCTTAACCACCACATTTAATGTCTGCTTTCTTTGAAAATATAGAATAGTTACTGCAAAAATGTATAGGAATTAACATAAAAATATTTTCTGAGGCATGTGAGTCAGAGGCTTAAGTTTTGTATAGTAAAAAGTAAGGTAGTGTTAGAAATTGGCTTTACCATTTCTGTAGTCTACATTAGCCTTCTAGAGAAAAGTATCCAAATTGTCCAAGGACTGGTCCAAACAATAACCCCAAACAGCTAGTATTGACTGTAAACCTCATTTTGCCATTTTCTTGGCAGTAAATAAAAGTCATCTATGCATATAGCAGGAGGAGGGAAGGCACTTGTCATCAGTTTTGTGCCAAAAGCTGCTAGAAACCTTCTGCCTCCTGTGTCACCAGTCTGCTCAGGTTTAGTGCAGTAGAGGCTCAGAAAGAGAGCTCAGCAAAGCTCTTTTCCAAATCAACAGCCTGGCATCAGATGTTTGTTTATGGTTGCATTTTTCAACTCTAAATTCTTCTGAAAAATGTGTTACTAATTCATACATGGCTACATATGAAGATATTTTAGAAGCTTTGGTTCCAATCACATTTCAGTAAATTCTAAGTAACTGCACCAGAGTGTGAATCTTAGTTCAGATGAGTATCTGAGAGTAGAATCAGATCCTTTGCTTTGACTTCAGTGTTCATTTTGGACAAACTTTGTTTCTCTTGAAATTACTTTTTAGAGTTCAACTCCTAACTGGGCTTGTGAATGCTAAAGATAATGCAGGCAAATGTAAACTACCCCCCCATTGCTGTAGAGTCTGTTGTTTTGCAGAGCAGGGGCTGTTGTGGACAGACCCTTTTAAACAGACTTAAAACCTCTTGATAGTGTTTGTAGGGGAGACTAAATTTGCTGGGCCTAGTGACTGCTTTTCTGATGATCTTCACTTCGATCAGCTATTGTTTCTAACTTTGCTTCCTCCTTCCTTCACTCACCTTGTCGTTATTAGTGACATTAAACCAAGGGTAAGAACGAGGTATTGCATTTCAGAGATTTGCACTTGTCATCCTGGCTTCCTGCCTTCTGTAACAGGAGAATGTGGGCACAGTAATAATTTACTGCATTACAAAAATGTATGGTGCAATATGAGCTCGGGGCAAAGCTGTTTCTCTGATCTTGGGGAAGGAGGACATCTTATATGATCCAAACCCTAAAGCTATGTAATTTTAGAAGCTGTTATTCAGGAATAATTGCATATCTGTCTTGGGGGTTTTGTGATTAGTCCAGAACTCTGGCACATTGGCAAGGATCTGATTGATATTAGAGTGATCCCTGCAAATTTACAAAAATGAGAGTGTTTATCTTTCAATAATATATATCTAAATGAGACAACTGACAATAATAGAAGGCTTCATGGAAGTTTGAGTAGATGTCGGATTGCTGTCTGCTAGACAGAGCAGCATTGATACAGTTAAGGGGTATACTGAGAAACATCAGTATGCTTTTATTTCCGTAAGCAAACCCAGTGTGCATATGCCATGGGGAAGTTTTATGTGACAGAACAAAAACACAATGGAAGGGATTTTTGGTTTTGGGGAGCGTACTTTGGTGGTTTTATAGTGGGGCTGGGAGGTAGTGAGTTCTTGAAAGATGCTTGGTGTCAGATGGGCCCTTGATCTGTTACAGGGTTAAACCTTCCCTGACTGCTCTGTGACCATCACATGGATACAGGCTCAGTTTATGTTTAGTTTTATGGTTGTAAGGAGTACAAAATGGAGCTGAAAGAGCACATTGTCCCTACAGCTGGAAACATTTTTGATGTGGGTGATTTTTCATTCTTGGGCAATAAGGAAAGGAAAAGGGTTGGCTGTTGTTTCAGCTCGTGGCTGATATGCTCAGCTGGTAAATCAAAGTATTTGGTGCCCAGGTTCACCGTGCATTTCCTGTGAAATTTTCTGTTGTTGAGATGACAATCTATACTTCATATGGATATTTGGGGGATTAATGCATTCAAGTTTTTCAAGCTATTGAAGACCTTTAGATCAAAGAGGCTGTAAAGATCGGAAATATTGCATTTTGTCATGTGATGAGTTTATTCATTAATACTTTAGGGCTTTGTTTTTAAGGTTTCTCAAAGTGTGTTTCTTTTTTCTTTTGCAAACTGTAGCCTGGATTTCTTTTAAAACAGGTAAGATTTCTGAGAGCTCTTTAAATTAACTTTACAAGTGTGTGCCACTATTGAACATCCAGGCAGATCCGACACAAAGCTGAGACTGAACTTTAATCACTCAGTGTCCTGTATATTGGCCTTTCCATAGAAAATATCACTGCAGGGCCCAAACTTTGGGATAGTTGCCAGAACCTGCAGGCCATTTGCCGGCATGCTGCAGGCTACAGCAAAAGCCATTAGTCTCATGTTTTCTAAGGATCAAGAAAAAGGAGCAGGAGCAATGCAGATGTTATTACATCTGTAGTAGGGCAGATGCAGTCTTGCTGAGCAGGTGGGATCCTGGTGCTTGGATTGCTTGTTGTCAGAAAATTTCTCCCGGTGGATCAGGTACAACACAGGACTGTAATTTTGTATTATCAAAGCCAACTAGCTTTTTCACCTGGTAAGTAGAAGTAATAACAATGCCATAGTTGCTGCTGATTTCTAAAGCTCTGTTTAAAAGGGATCATTAGCTTATTTTTGAGATGAAAAAATCAAGTTGCTATGTGGAGAAGTGATTTCTCTGGGCCGCCAGCAAGCCCAGGACCTCATTTCTGCAGACCGTATCTCAAAGATACCAAAACTATCTTAGTACAGCATATGGATAAAACATGCTGCTAAATGTCATTCTGCTTTTAATTCTTGCTTCAGTGTGGAAAGTAAATGTTTGCTGTCTTTCTGTGTTAATCTTTGCAGCTTTCAGCCGTGCCCCGGTCCCCATGGCTGTGGTCCGAAGGGAGCTGTCCTGTGAGAGTTACCCCATAGAGCTTCGCTGCCCGGGAACAGATGTTATCATGATTGAAAGTGCCAACTATGGGAGGACTGATGATAAAATCTGTGACTCTGATCCTGCTCAGATGGAGAATATCCGCTGTTATCTGCCAGATGCCTATAAGATTATGACTCAAAGGTATAGTATTTAATATTCTTTGTTTGCTGACTTGTTTTTTTAATCTGGTATGTACACACCAGTTTGTGTGTGTGCATGAGAAAATGCAGGTACTTAGTCCCTGTGTATGTGCATGGAATTAAAGCTGTCGTTGCTTGACTGTGGGTTTAAAACAGTTGGGTTAGCCTCATGCAATATAAATAATAACTGCTGTAAGTACTACTAATCAGTTATCTTGATACTCACTGTATCCCAGTTTTACCTCTGAAATACCTAAATATCAAAACTCCTAGTGAACTTGTAAGTGGAGTCTCTCAAATACACATTCACTGTTTTCTGTACTGTGTTCAAACAGATGGCCAGTAATCGCCTTTAAACAATTAATAATTTGTTCAAAATAATTTACATTTATCAAAATACAAAAAAAAAATAAAAATAGTTTCCATCATTCCTTGTGGTGCCAGGCTTAGTTTTAGGGAGGATCTGAATTCCCAGTCAAGAATTTGCATTCACACTGGTTTTGCAGAAGACTTGCTTAATTTCTCTATAATGACCATTAGTACTAACTGTGACTACTGCATCTGGAAATGGTAACGAAGATATATGCCATGTAGACAGATTCCTGTGTTGCAGAGCCAGGGCCTAAGAATTTATTCCAACCTAGAGGTATCCTGGTTATGGAAAGCCTTTAACTGTTGCTGAATTTTTCAGGGTATTTTCTGGCACAAAAGGTGTTGTGGGAAGAACAAGTCAAGTGCTTGACATGTAATTGCATTCAGTGCATTACTCCTAATAACTACACATGAATAATTATTCAGTACATTTGGCTTTTAATTAAATAGTAATCAAAATGAGTATTTCGGGGTATTAATAATTGTATTGACATAGACAAACTGTTGCTAATTGAACTCATGACAACAGTGTTTGCATGGTGACCTAATGGCTGAAGCAGTGCAAGGTTTCACTGGAGTACCTTGCTATTGTTTGCTGTGAGACACTTTGCACTAAAAATGGAGTTCTGGGAGCAACACAAAAGAAAGCATGAGTTTCATCTATATTTGACATGCTAACAGCTATTCTTTGAGCTCCCTTTAGAACTGCTCTGTGTCAAGTATTTAGATCTCAAAATGCTGAGAGGTATTGTGAAAAATGGTTCTTATAAGGCCATCATTTAAGTTGAACCTCCTTGACTATCTGGTTGAAGTCCCGCTTGTAGGATTGTACTGGTTGCATTTTTCAAGACAAATGAACACGCCATCAGCCAGTCCCTTGGATTTGGCATGGTTTTAGTGGAATTACTGTAATTCTTCTGTTCAGGTTGTTAGTGGCTTCAAGCAGAAACCCTTAATCCTCTGCATATTGGCAGAATAAAACTATGTCATCCCCTTTGTGGGCCATTACAGAGAACAAAGTATTAATATTTTTATATGTATGCAGTAATGTCCTCCAGGCACTCTCTTCCAAGCCAAATGCAGAGCTCTGCAATCTTCTGATCTGTCACCACATGTAGCAAGTCTGCAACAAACATTAGTCCTTTTGTCAGGGAGGGCACATAATCATGCGTGTGCCCATGGTGCTAGGATGAAAACTCACGTTGATTGCTCAGCTCCAGATACCATCACTGCAGACTCAAATGGCTTAGCAGAGAGTTAGCAGGGAAGTGCTTCTGTGGGTTAAAGCATCTCTGTTTTCCCATTTGGGCAGAAATGGTGCTGTAGAGGATGGCCACTGAAGGAGAAATTTCTTGCAAGGGAAAAGCAAATCCCTACTGACTGAATATTCATATCTGTGAGTCCTTGCCTGGTGCTGTTTATCAGTGGCCAGGCTCAAGAAAGGGTGGTGGCTTTTTCCATTTAAGCTATTTGATTATCAATTTTCACAAAGAGTGCAGTCGTGTTATTAATTGGGTACTATTGAGTTTCTTGAAAATAAATATAACTTGATTTTAGTTAAAAGGCAGGTTAAAAGAAGAAAAATACTCTACTTTGCATTTTATGTCAATCTCATCTCTTTTTTTTTTAATCTCCATTAATTCAAAGAGTTGAAACAATTTAAAAATAAAACCATTAAAATGAAATATGTTCTTCAGATGCAAACCTGTCTGCCAGCTCGAAGTATGCCTTATAGCTGAGCATCAGAAAAAAGTACTTTAAAAGGAGAATTTTGACAGCCTAGTAATTGTGGCACTAACTGTGGCATTTTTTTCTAAAAGCCTCTACCTGTGAAATTAATAAATTCAGCAGTATTTGGGTGGTTTTGCAGATGAATTAAAGCTTTAATACAATGAGCTTGTCTTTGCTAATTCTGCAGGTTGGGAAAGCAGCTACTGGGAACTAAAGAGTCTCATGACAGTGTAACCTGCATGGCAATTGAAGCTGTCTGCCCATGCAAATAAAAACAATATGTACAGTAAATTCTTCCTATGCATTGATTAATTATTGCATTTGTAGATGCACAGTTGCCTTGTAGATTTTAGAGTAAGTTGTCTAACTGTTGGCATTTTTTAATCAGCTACGCTGTACAGCTGACTTAGACACGCTTTGGCATGGCTTGGGGCGGGGGAGAGGGAAAGATGGGAAGAAAAGCGTGTGTAAGACAGAGATGTTGTCAGTATGTGAGCTGAGGCTGCGAGTGAGCGCATTTATAATAGTTATTAGCAGTTACTCCCTCAGCGGGCACACACAAACCTCCCCATCCCAAAATAAAAACGAAAATTGAACAGGTGAGTTAGTGTGTTTCTTTCTTCTGTATGTTTGGTTAAATTAATTTTGTGGATGAATACATGGGGTTATTTTGAAAGGGAAAGGCATAAATCTGATGGTGTGGTTGCGGAGCCTCCTGAGCAAAGGGGGACAAAAGGAGTTAATGCAAATGTTGCCCTGAAAAATCTCACAAATCTTGAGAATATTGCTTGAAGTAAAAAAACATTTAAACAACTTGTAGAGCCTATTTTATAGGAAATTATATTGCTGTGGCCTGTTTTGTTTCTTACTTGCCATTTCTTCCTTCAAGCATTTGAGCAGCAGCTGCCTATAAAAACTCAGAGTGCTTTATGGACTGAATTTTTTCTGATATGGTTAGCGAAATATGCATTTCATAGCATGTTTGCTTTGGAGAAGCTTCTTTTCGAGGGCCTTAACAAACAATTCTAACCATGCCTGTTGTAATCTGTGTGCACTGTACCGTGGAAGACTTCACTATGTCCTCCCCTGAGAAACTGTGCCACAAAATTAACATATCATCCATTCAAGCAGCCAGGGTTCTTGGTGAACAATAAGGAAGAACAGCCTCCTTATTCCCATAAGAGTTGCCTTTGTTTTTATAGTGCTAACACTGTCGTTTAGTCTATTAAAAAGCACCCTGAACAAAAAATAGTTTTCAGCGTGCTCCCTTGAATTTCATGTGGATGCTTTCTACCAAGAAGATGCCCAGCTCAGGAAGACAAAATCTGTGTATTACATTTTGCGTGCTGGTGTTTTCAGTACAATTTGGTGGAGCTAGTGGCCTCGTAAAACTGCCACCCAAATTTAAGGTTGCAGTGTGAGTGAGGGAATTAAGCATTTAGTTGCTTCCTCCTTGATTCAGAAAAACATGCCAGCACATGCTGCTTTTTGAAGCTCACGCTCCAGCATTTTGTGGAATGAAGACAGAGCTTTCCTGGGTTGAATGAAGCCAATGGAAAGAAGATGGGTGGATCAGGTGGAACATGTTTGTTCACAGATCTGTCTGCTGTCAGTACCGCCTTTGTGCTTAACTTCATAGTTTGCAACAGCCTGTTTTACTAAGCTCCTTATCCTTTCCTGTAGGCTTTAACCTTGAATGTTAAAATGAGGGGGGCAGGGGGGGAAGAGTTCGAGTAGAATGGCTGGCATATAGGTACACCTACACAGATCAGGCATGTCTTTTTGCCTTAAATGTGAGATCAAGGCTTTCCTTTTGCTTTCCCAATGTCAGCAGTAAAGGTATCATCATCTACCCCAGCCGTAGTCTGCTACTCTTAAGCTGGAGGAAGGAAAGGAGGGATGGAATAGTAAGATGAAACTAGCAGGTGTAACAGAGGAGCAAGGGGGGAAGTGTTCACAGGTCTCAGCAGCTGTTTCTAAAATCCGAACAAAAATCTTTCTGCCTTTTCAACATTTGAAAGGTAGAAAATGTAGAAAGTTCTGGCTTGGGAACTCGTATCTCAACAACTCGGCTCAATTTGCAAAGGGGGCAAATTTTGCCTCTTGCCACAGTAGAGTGTTGCATAGCTCATGTGCTATTGTTGCCACTTCTGGCCTGGAGATGAGGGCTGAAAACTGCTCAGCTCTCTTTTTCCCTCAAGAAAGCACTGGACCTATTTTGTGTCCCACAGGAAAGACACCTCTTGCCCAGAGCTTCCTGCTGCTTCCAGGACAAAGCTGTGGCTTCTCCAGAGGAGGATGTGTAGCCTGCACAGTGCATCGGGACTTGTACCCTCTGCTCTGCTGCAGCCGGTTATGGTGGTGTCTGCCCCACACAAAGCACCCTTGTGTGGCACACCTCAGGACCTGGCAGGTGGATGCTGCAGCTCTGCTAGACTGCTCTGCTGACTGAGCAGATACAGAATTTCTAGTAGCTCTGTGGGAGGCACAACTGGGAGTTACTAGATGCCATCATGTTGGACTGCAGTTACTTAGCTGAGCTAGTTTCCTTTATGTTTGAGTATAATCTGTGTGGTTTGTCCCTGTGGTTTCAGTATTGACATCATTGATGAAACCTAGAGTTAAAAAAAAAAAGAGTAGTTAAGAGTGTAAGACTGTTGTCAGCTGCTTTCCATTTAGTTTCATGATTCAGAGGGCTTGATCCTTTAACATGAGGAGGAGCAGTCGCAACTGTCCTGGTAGTCAGAAGGACGGCAGCAGGCACTTTGCACAGTGCTGGTTAAAATATAGAGATCCTATGAACCAGCTTGCATTACACTGCAAAGATTTTTTTAATCTCCTGAAGGGCTGTGTTTCATCAATGTTTTTGGATGATAACCTGAAAAATGCAGGACTGCA